TGTGTAATTTTAAACCAAAACTAAGGCCTCAGGATGACGTTAAGACGTGAACATGGTCATTTTTGTTTTGTAACATTAAAGGTGGGGTAGGTAAGTTTGAGAAACCGGCTCGAGATACACTTTTTGTTATATTCCATGGAATGCTCTTAACATCCGATAGCAATGAATATCTGAAGTGCTTTGACAAAAAATCCATACAAAAATGTCATCTGTGGAAGTCGTAATACTGTAATACGGGCCGGCTAAACGGATTGGATTTCCGCCCTGTCTGTCAGCCTTCCATCTCGTGCACGCACAAATGTATCTCGTGCCCTCATTGGGCGTGCCCTCATTGGGCGTGCCGTCATTGGGCGTGCCGTCATTGGGCGTGCCGTCATTGGGCGTGCCCTCATTGGGCGTGCCCTCATTGGGCGTGCCGTCATTGGGCGTGCCCTCATTGGGCGTGCCGTCATTGGGCGTGCATTGCAGCAGTACTTCAATGACTCGCCAGCAACAGGCGGCCACTTTCACCATGGCAGAGTTAGGTTCGACATCGTCTACTGGTGGCAAAATAAATAATGTAACGGAGCAAATTAGGAACAAAAACAAAGTGGAAACTAGGAGAATTCAAACCAGAGTCAATATCGGAGTTGCTTTTCAACGATGGCGACTACTGATGGAACACACCTATGGGGGTTATTCCCTATCTTTATTCAAGAGCGTGGTATTTAAATTTGAGAGCATACTTTATGTATTTATTTCCCTCAAACCCTGTCCTCGCACTCAAATAGTGCCTGCTTGCACTTAGATGTGCTCTGCTTCTGCTCAAACTGTACGCTTGCACTCAGATATATTGCTGCTTACAGATTTGTTCTGCTCTCAGATTTATTCTGTGCGTGCTCGAAACTTTTGTGCAACAATCCTGTCAAAATCCCTCAACCAATAGGAGGCCAGGTGTCCTTGCGGGTGCGTTCGCTTTACTTATTACAGCGTCCCGTAAGGGCGGTTACTCTTTGGTGCGATGACAGGGTTTGAGTGAAGGAAATCAATAAAGTATGCTCTCAAATTTAAATACCACGCTCTTGAATAAAGATAGGGAATAACCCCCATACACACCGAGTTGAAATCTGACGCCGTGGTCGCTCTTTTTCTCTTGGACAGGTAATTATCTGTTTTGTATGGTTTACAATTCCCTGAACTATATAGCCAAGTCATGTGCGCGTTCATGTGTGTTGGAGGAGGTGCTCTGTAAGGAAGTCTGAAGGAAGGGGCGGATTCTTTTCGGCTGTGTACTTTCAAATTTTAGTGCAATCGAGCCGGTTTCTGAAACTTACCTACCCCACCTTTAAATAAAATAATTTAAAAATAATTAAAAAAAAAATAAATAATAATAAAAATTCCCAATCCCCGATTTTTTTTTCTCCAGATTCCGATCTTTTGAAAATCACGTGATCGGCTCCGATCCCCGATCACGTGATCGGATCGGGATATCTCTATTCGGCATCATTTTGAAACGTGTATTACAATTAAATCACGGTCAAATATGTTCATTTTGTTGTAGTTGCCAGTGATTCTCTCTCTAGTTCAGCATACTCAGCCCGGTTGTTGGCCCGGAAAGAACCTCGATTTTGGAGAGCCAGAAAAACTGTGAAAAAGTACCCGCTAGCCGGAACTACGCCGAGTGGAAACGCAACCAAAAACGGGCCGGGCACGGCACGCTTAAACTGCGCTGTTGTGGAAATGCGCCATTAGAAGGCCTAGATCGCTAGCTGTAGCATAAGTGTTAGCCAGTTGGCTAGCAAGGCAGCTAGTTTCAGTAATGCAGGCGATCAGGAGAGCTGCTTTATTTCAGAAACACAAAGGTGGCGGCAGGCTGGGAGAACTTGGTGGGTGGTAGTGACTCCGGCTGTTTAGCTCAGATCTCCACAGAAACAACGGAGAAAATGTCAATATGAAACATCATGTTTAGCCAAATTACTATTTCTAGAACTGCCCAGCGAGGGAAGGAACGTTTATACAACTAGTCCACTTATCACGCATATCCCTAATTGCTATGCCTCAACATTATCCTGCAGCAGTGTGTGAGTCCGACCTCAAATTAACATGTCAGTGGGGAGAAAACAGCTCAAACGTTGCGTGTTGCCACTGTTGAGCCGGAGCAAACACAAACAGTTCCTGCGGCCGTGTAATCATCACAGACCACTTTCTCAAAAACAGATGTGGAGCGCATCAGTGCCTGCAATCTCACATCTGTCTGGGACTTAGTATCCATAGAGAGTAAACACAGAATACACACAGTTTGGTGAAGAGATCTGAACATGACTGGTTATTTATCAAGTGCTTAAACATCCGAATTAAAAGGGAGAGAAGAAGAACCTTACTGTCAACTTTTTAGCTCTGTCCTGGTCAGAGTAACTGCTAAATCATTGAAACTGGAGCCAACGAATGGATACGTCTGAAACATGAGATAATAGTACAAATATGTGCAGGAAATCAGTTCCTGTATGATTTCACACGTGTGGGAAGCAGAGTGTCATGCCAATTGTCATAGAGAAAGGCAACATTTTTCCTGTAATCTGGGCCTGCCGCTTCCTTCCAGTCATCCACCTCCAGGGACGTTACATAACGCAACACAGCGCTGCTTTTAGCCACACAAAGGAAAGCATTTGAATGCTCCATGAAAAAACACAGTTACAGGCTTCATTGGCTGCAAGAACATGCGTGTACTTAATCTCTTTCAGCGCCTCTTCTAGTCATTTAAACAGCCTGGGCAGCAGATACAAGAAACATAAAGTGCCGAACACGGAGCGTATAAAAGCATCTGTAAAGCCAGGGAGAAAGGGTACAGTTGTTTCATTCCACATGCACAGCTTCAGAGTGATAAGAGATAACTTTATCGACCCATTCAAGGGGGAAAAAGGAAACAGTGAGGCGCCTCAGAGCTTTATATAATGAGGTGGGTTATTCTGCAGCCTGTAGCCTCGCTGCTTAGCATATGAAACACAGGAGGAGAAGGTTAGTGCACTCAGCACTTCCTGAGAAGGGCCTTTCTGCAGCCCAGATGGCCGTCATTAAGGTGCCGCTGCCAAGTCTGGAAGTCTTTGATTTATTTGGGAGCAGAGATTTTATCCAACACACACACACAATGTTGCATGTACTTGAGTATCATTTTTGGGTATACTTACTCTATTTTATGCCATACTTCTACTCTTCAAAATGTCTGGAGCACATGTTGAACTGTTTTCATTTGACAGGTGTAGTTACTTTCCAGATTTACGATAAAGACATAGCCGCATAGTTGAATGTATCGTAAGCCCCGGCCCTTACTATAAAACATTGTCTAGTCTAGAGGAGGCTGCTTGTCATGTTTCAGATGAGTTGTTGGTTTCCTTTGTTAACTCAAAACCCAATGTCACATGAGAGTACTGTTTTCTCTTCTTTCATTCCCCATTTATCATCTCATGACCCCTCAAACCAACCTTATGACCCTTTATTTGGGGCTCAACTACTACATAAAGCTACCGATTCTAGAAAGTAGTTGAAACTTGCTCTGGCTCAACTAGCTTGAAGGACCCCTATTATGCTTTTTGGGGTTTTCCCTTTCCTGTAGTGTGTTCTATAGGTTTTAGTGCATGTAAATGGTCTGCAAAGGCTAAAATCCCGCACACTCCCCGCCTGAAACACCTCCATTGGACTCCTTTGTTTCCTCCTCCTTTACTTCCAAAATATAGTGACATAGTAAGTGATAAGACCAAGTGCTACCGAGGTGTCCCTGAGCAAGGCACCGTTCCCTACACTGCTCCCCGGGCGCCGTTCAAAATGGCAGCACACTGCTCCTAACACTAGGATGGGTCAAATGCAGAGAAACAATTTCCAGGGATTAATAAAAGTCCATCCATCCATCCATCTAAGGGGCGGCACATCTCTAAGGATTTTCTACTGGTTTTCTCATATAAATAAAGCGAATATGTTTACATCGTGGTATTCCTGCTCACTTTATACTTCAGTAAAGTCACTTCTTCAGACTCCGAGTCCTCAGGTCTTCCCCTCTTGACTCGGTGGGAGCAGAGGACCAGGTTTAGATGTGGGTGTAGAAAATTCCTGCCTTATTTATGTAACATTTGCTACACAGCGGTCAGGGCTTTGGTGCAGGCTGTGTGGGATAACCTTCACTTCGCTCTGATCCAATGATTAGTGACACCGTTTAAACCAGAGCTGATACATCAATTAATTAGTCGATGACAGAAAAGTGATTGCCAATTCATCGTTTAGGTGATCTCATAGACACAAATCCTTAAGTCACATTAGTTTCAGCTCCTACATTGATGCTTTTCTTGTTTTATGTGCAATTAAACAGGATATTTTGGAGGGTTAAAACTGTATTTAATAGACAAGATAATTACCTGATTAATCAATAATGGAACAAAAATCATTACTTGCAGCTCTAGTAGTTTGAACTGCATCCTTTGGTCAGGAGATCTTTTATAAGGAGAAAACAATTCACAGAATCATCTCCATCCATAGCTTTAATTATTCTGGATTGGGACTATGTTTTTTTAAGTAGGCTGCAATGATATAACCTACTTGACACTATCTTAACTGTCAAATGCACAGGGATCAAAAAAAGCTATTGCAACACAAGAGGAAAAGCAAAGAAAACTCAACACAATGTGAGACTGAACAGACTCTGATTTCATGCTGTCCCCATGTGACAAGCATTGCTCATCATCATGCAAGCAATGACTGACATGGAGGCTGAGAAATAACTCGCAAATCCTTCTGACTGTTCCAAAATTGTGATCCAGACACCATTTATTGGATCAATGTATACAAATCCCACTGAGATTTAAATCCAAAATGCAACATAAGAGAGAAGACGAATGCAAAACAAAGAAAATGCACTTGCTTCAAATGTCTCGGATAAATAATGTGAATATACTAGAAAATCGCACCACAGTCTTGCATGGGAATCACTGGTTGCGTCCAATAGTTAAAACGTGGATTCGGAGTTTTGCCCTTACCTAAACCGGGGGGAATCCTTAATGCATTCTTCAAAATCCACCGTCATCTTGGGCTGGATGGTGAGCTTTTAACACGGTTAAAATGTGGGTGTCATGTCCCGGGTGTTGAGGAAAGTAGAGATGTTTATTATCCGATACAGCGATGCGATCCTCCCGCCGGTTAGTGCTCCTGTTGCGGATCAGTCTCTCTCTGAAGAGCCAGAGCTGGAGCACCAGCACTGGACCCTGTGCTGCCTTCATGGACTCCTGCTAACCTCGGATTTATAAGCTGCGACGTCCGAGTTGTAGTTGTTGCCTGTAAATTGACATTTCAAGGTTCAAGGAGGTTCAAGGCTTTTATTGTCATTTGTGCATAGCTACAGTGTGTAGATAATGAACATCTTAGGTCACAGGCTCCTCCAACAGTGCAACACAATAAAACAGATAATCGTGCAATTAAATAGAATAAAATAGAATATAATAGAAATTGTGCAGAATAATCTATATAAATGAAGTAATTGGAATATTGACATATATATGTATATTTTTGCTTTTATTTATTGTTTATAAGGGCACTATTATGCTTTATGTCGTTGTCCCTTTCCTGTAGTATGTTATACAGGTTTTTGTGCATGTAAAAATCTGCAAAGGCTTAAATGTTAACTTACTTACTTAAATATTTGGACATATTGGACACTAGTTCAACATCTGATGACATATGTTTGTAGAAGTACTGTGCTTTTCTTCTTTCCTTCCCAATGAATCATCTCATGACCCCTCACCTTGGGGTCTCGACTAATACATAAAACGACTTTACTGTATGTTAAGTAATTAAAGGGGACTTATAAAGGCAAGGCAAGTTTATTTATATAGCACTTTTCAACACAAGGCAATTCAAAGTGCTTTACAAAAAATGAAAGACATTAAGAAAAAGGCATTTAAAATCAGTCATTAAAAAGAAAAGCTAATAAAATAAACATTAAAAGAAAAAATACATGGATAAAAGATATATATATAAATCCTTTCCTGTCGTGTGTTATAGGTTGTTGTGAATGTAAATGGTCTGCAAAGGCAAAAATCCCTGCGTTCCCTCCAGACGGAGTTTCTCTCCCACACACTTCAGTTTATTTCTATAAAATATAAATAATTTCTTATGACTAAAATCTCAAATTTCCCTTCAAATGTGAACCTGAAAATGAGTTTAATAGGGCTCCTTTAAAGTGGGTTCCAACTAAAGGCGAAATGTTACACATACTCAAGTCAATTCCTAAGTATAATTGTAAGGTACTTGTACTTTACCTGAGTATTTCAATTTCATGCTACTTTATGCTCACTTTTACCATTTCAAATATGATTTATTATGTATTATTCATAATAAAACTGTTTTGATCCATGGCTTAAATTCCCAAGGTACTCCAGCTGCAACATTAAACTTATGAACACATTGATGCATCGACAAATATAATTGAACTATAATACATTTGCATACATTGACTTTATGTTCGGATGTAAAATAATGCTTTTACCTGAGGGAGTACTGAACTTTTACTTGAAAGCATACTAAAAATATCTTAGCACTTCATCCACCACTGATACATAATATAACACAATAAAAGCAGGCCTTCACTATTTGGAAATACACTATTTGGAAATACATGCATTTCACAATGATGTTTATTATGTTATTGTATTATATATAAGGACGCATTCATGCATCAATGTCATGTTATAGCTGGAAACAATACGGCTCTATTAACTTCCTTTATACATATACTTTGATGTGATTTTTGCTAATGTTATGATGTAAACAGCATTTTATGTTGTAGAAGATTGAGGTAAAGTGGTAATTTAACTAGTTTGACAACATTTCATTATATAATCTTTGAAGTACAGATGTCAAATACATTTAGTAGAGAAATCAAACATTTAGTGGTAAAGTACATATAAAGCAACATGTTTTCAATTCAATAGAGTAGAAGTAGCTCACGATTGTATGTATTTGTTACTTTTCACCATTGATCATAGCAAAAATCGTGCTGTTTTGCATTCAATTTGTTGAAATTATAACATTTCCGACAGTACATGAACGCACCAGGTGCTCAACCCTCTGCATGAGAATGAGTAGAATGCTGACGTCACGTTCCGTCTCATTTGAATGAATACAACGAGTTCAATAATCTCATATATTTTGAGCCTGTTATGACATTCAGTCCTTTGTCTTTGTATCGTAACACCATCAAATAACCCTTTAAATGTACAGGTATAAGCAGAAAGTAAACCTCGTGGTCCGTTTTTTTTTGTTGTGCAGATATTCAGGTCACTTTTATTCTGTAATTGTTTGCAATTTTGATCATAAAAGACACAAAATAATGTGCATTTTTTTAGGCAACATATTCATTAGGGGAAGTGTGATTCGGTATTGTACACTCTCTGGTGTGTTATTATCTTAAGCAATGAATAAGCAAACACCCACAATGGCTTCAGTTTCTTCTTTTCAGAGATGCTCTAGTCAGATTCACACCTCTAATACACTATGGTGTCAGATCTGCTTGTTTTTACTGCTTTGCAAGCTGTGAAAATCTATTTAATGTCAATATCTGACTCACTGAAACTAATTGCTTGGTTTTCTGAAACACTTAAAAGAGACCTCTAACACATCTGAGTGTTGCTATACCTATCTACTTTCCCATGCTGCTGCATGAGGGTATCTCAAGTGCATCCACTTCCCCAGCAAGGCTATTATTAATTTACAGGAAATGGGAAAGCATCGAGTAATACGCCTGCTTGGGATTTCACTGCATGTTTTCATAGAGCACCATTGTTCCTTCAGATCCTGCCTTTAAATAGGCTGCGGGTCAGGCCATGAACAGAAATGATTTCACTCTTTTTCAGTGGAGGTGTCTTGACTTTTAATCACCATCGGACAATAACACAATTAAATCTCAGAGGAAATACATTTTCAGCCATGCAACAGATGGTTGGTCCACCACTTTCACCGTCTATTGGATGGATTGTCATAAAATGTAAAAGATATAGGCTACAGAGTTCCCAGAGGATGTATCGACTTTGGTGATCCCTTTATTTTCCTCTTGCATCATCAAAAGGTGGCCATTTGTAGTTTTCAAAAATGTCAGAACACATATTAAATAGATTGCCATGAAATTGGTCGAGAAATTTCTTATGCCCTCTGGATGAATCTTAATAACTTAGATGATCTGATCGACGATCAAAAAAATGCAGTGACGTGCACCTCACATTTTCAACCTGCAAAACATGCTTGCACTTAAGGCACAACAAAAAAAACCATGGTGCTCCAATACAGCAGCTCTATTTCTCTTCCCTGCATTTGGGACACAACACTAGGCCCATTTTTAGACTCCACTAACCATCCCCCCTTTTCCTCATTGCCTCACTCCCAGTTCCTTTCACTAATCTGAGATCAAAGCACCCTCTGCTTCTTTGTGAAGGTGTTGAGTCAGCAGTTGGATGATCTGAAATGCACACTAGTGGAACTTCAGAGCAAACTTAGTGGAGTCAATATAATATATAAGGTTGTGCATGTTATTAAAGCAGGAGCAGCAGCCCATGAACATATAGATACAGATATAAAATGGTACCTGTATTCATCGAGCGAGTATGTTGATTACATTTCCATGCAACTGGCACGAAACAGGATGAAAACAAACATTTGGTGTGAATGAATAAACAACTGAAGAGAAAACAATATTCGGGAGTTTTTTGATAGAAAACGACACCAAAATCGTCAGACAAATAAAAGGGAGACAGTCAGGCTTCTTGTTTCCAGTCTTTTTGCTAAGCTAAACTAGCCTGTTGCTAAAAATAGTCAGATATTGTGGTATCAATTTACTGGGCAGAATATCAGCCAGGCAGACACAAGTGTATTTCTCAAGATTTCTTTAAGATTTGGGAATCTGGGTTTTTTGAGGCAGATTCTTCATCGTATTATGAACAGATTTAAGGTACTTGACAGCAAGATGATTTACAGTGGAGACTGCCTAGCTATCATATTAGTAATGGACCGTTCAACTCCTGCTGCTTTTGTGTAATTTAATAGGAGCAGGGATGATTCTCTTCTGCCTTTGTGCAGGAAAAAGAGTGGACTGGAGCTGTCGACTCTCATGTTTGAGGCCCTCTGATGGCAGACACATGCACTGCTGCAGTGTGAAATCACTGGGAGAGATGTGTGGGTCTCTGGGAGGGTGACCTACTTTTTCTCCCCTCTTTGGTCTGCTGGAGAGAGAGCTGCAAGTCGCACTGCTGAGCACACAGCTTGTAATGTTATCCCTTCTGACTGCAGGTGCACGGCTCTACAAGACACCACCGATGAGGCATGTACAGATGCTGCATGAATGTTCTATTTTATGCAAGTATAAGTCTTCTCAGCAGCGACCTATTCCAAGTGTTATGTATTCCCATGTCTTTTGTAAAGGAATTTGAATCTTACTAAAGGACTGCTGCACTGTGTGTGTGTGTGTGTGTGTGTGTGTGTGTGTGTGTGTGTGTGTGTGTGTGTGTGTGTGTGTGTGTGTGTGTGTGTGTGTGTGTGTGTGTGTGTGTGTGTGTGTGTGGTCTAGCATTACTATACTTGTGGGGACCTAAATCTGTTTACATAGTCACGTGTGGGGACTGGCTTCCCTTATGGGGACAAATTGGAGGTCCCCATGAGGGGAATCATTAATTTTAGGGTGAAGACTTGGTTAGGTTTAGGATTAGGGTTAGGCATGTGTTGGTTATGGTTAAGGTTAGGATAAGTCTCCAGGAAATGCATGTAAGTCAATGTAATGTCCCCTGAAGTGATGTATACATGGTATGTGTGTGTGTGTGTGTGTGTGTGTGTGTGTGTGTGTGTGTGTGTGTGTGTGTGTGTGTGTGTCATATGTACTAAGAAGACATTCTGGCATTGTTATAGTAGTATTTATATAATAATATGCATTTGACAATTCTTAAGATTTTTAAAGAAATTGGCTGACAAAGAAACGTGCTTATTTGCTTTCTTGCTGAGAGTTAGATGAGAGGCTTGACACCACAATATCTGTTCAGTATTTATGAAACTATCATCAGCAACTGGTTAGCTTAGCATACACAACTGGAAAAGAGTCAGGCGCTCTCCAAATGTGATATTATACCTACTGGTCACTCTAAATCTCACAAATAATTTTGTTCACACAACAATTTGCGCTTTTTTGG